AATTGACATCATCCATGTGTATAAAAGAGATGGTGGGTATGATGGAATCCAATACCGGCACCTAAATACGCATGGTAATGAAACAGTCGACATAATCAGCCGTCTACATTCGGATATGTTTTTACAGAACAAGTTCTTACTGAATGGTGTAAGTTTAAAACTCCGACTCATAAGATTAATTTTGTATTATGTCAAACAATGAATTGGGATTCACAATTTTGCTATAACACGATTCTATCTACACCAGAAAGTCAAGATAAGTCTATCAGTCGTCCTGCAGCATGCTAAGGCACTTCAGAAAGAAACAGCTAAATATTCTTTGAAATATATAGTGTGCACATCGTTTTCAATTCCCCATGGAAACTTATAAGCATCTATCGATAATGTGTGTTTAGGTAAAGTACCTACACGTCTTGTTATAGGAGGTGTTGATAATGATGTATTTAATAGATTACGGTATCAATTTCGTGGCAATCAACGTGGACGGAAAGCAAATTCTCACTGAACCTTTACAACCCAATTTTGATGCTTAACTGTATGCACGAAGCTACGAAACATTATTTAGTGGAACAAGAAAACAGTTTCAAGGACAAGGAGTTGATATGGGAATATTCGGGAGAATACATACTCTTTGCCTTTGATCTTACACCCGATCTATCTGAATGATATTCACACTTTAGTGTGGTGAAAGAGGGTAATTTACGAATTGAAATACGTTTTGGTAGTACCTCACCCAACACTATAAATGTTCTCGTCTATGCAGAATTCCATTCACTTTTAGAAATTGATCAGTCTAGAAACATCGTGTCTGATATTTAAGAAGCTATGAACACATTAGAAATTTATTTTATACTTTCGCGATACTTGTATACGCAAAAGAAGTTTGGAGGTGTGTTTGCCAGTGATCAACTACCTGAATATGCAAAAAAACAACTGCCAATCTGGATCAGAGTCATAATCCTGGTAGCCACTGGGTCTGTATTTACTTTGGTCAAAATTCACCAAGAAGAACTGTCAAACGTGGACTTACAATATATACAAATATACTGCAAGGACCATTTTCGTCTGTGTGTGGACAATATTGTATATATTGTGCTTATTATTGTTGACTACATATGTCGAGACGAGAATTATCTAAATTTGGATCCCCCAAAGATGTTAATGACATGTTTGATCATGACTTTGTTGCAAAACATTTTCATCTAAATGCATCTTAATATACAGGTCTTTTTTATATAGATCAGATTAAAAAAATGTTAAAACAATATTGTGTCGAGAACTGACTTATTGTTATATAAAACCAATAATAGATTTACATGTAATTAAATATAGATGTTCATTACATGTTGAGACAATGAGCTCATCATTCTCTGCCTATACAAATATTATCCTCAGTAACATTGCCTGCCTTTGTCAAACACATTTAATACAAATAAATATATAAATGAAAACAAAAAACAAGTTAAGACCTGTATGCAGCCCTACAGGACTGTCAGTCTTTGTAAGTTGTATTTAATGATTTACTTAGAGTGAAACTGTAAACACATGGTTATGAAATTAGATTAAATTACTAGTTTTAAGACTTTGTTACTATAATATCATGTTGATCTACATCATACCATTATGGTCTCTGGTTCCACTTCTTGGAACTAGAAACACGTTTTCTGGACAACTTTTGTTGTCATGTCCGCCTGTCATGGCGGCGTAGCATTGCGTCCTCTAGTGACACTTTGTGGAACTATGACGTATTGTCTATGGTGACATCATCGCTTGGTGCCCTCTGGTAACATTTCGTGAAACTATGACGTCATCATCTCTGGTGAGATTGTCTCCCCTTGCCTGAGGTCAACACACTTTTAGCGCCCTCTGACGGAGTGCCGCGCGGGTACCTTATAACTAATGACGGTTGGTGGTGTTGATTAGCAGACTTTTCTCTAGTCTATCACTTCAAATTTAGGGAAGGCTAGCACAGTTAACCCCTCGAGTAGCTTTGCATGAAATTCGATAAATATACATTAATGATACCTTAAGCGCACCTGGGCTGAGCGTCCAAGTCAGGGGCCCCGAGGAATCAAATATAGTCATCCCCAATTTTTAACTACTGACTGAGAAGGCAGCTAGTTTGAAATACCCGCCGCCACAAGGGCTATCTCCAGCTTTGGAACTGAATAAGAGGAATTAAAGTCACTTTTACAATGAGCCCATAGCTGAAGGTGCAGAGCGTATTCAAGCAGTATCACGTCTTGAATCTCTGACCCTGAATACGCAGCCCGACACGCTAATCACTAGGTTACGCCCAACAATAGAAAGAGAGGTAGAGACATGCAATTCTTGAAAATAAAATAAAAACTTAATAGTTATGAATAATGGAAATATGAAAGTAATAAAATAGAATAATAATGAATAACAAATACGGAAACAAACACTGTTTCGTGATAATATTTTTCATCACAGAAATATGATGTTACAAAAATGTTCAAAAAATCATTGGTTAATAAACAGTTTTTATGTATAAACCTTTGTTACAAAGGGATAGCTGTTGTAGAACGAAGGGAATTAAATATTGCTAGTGAATTATATTATTGCATACATTTGTCGTTGGAGAAGGGATTTTTTAAACACTGTGTACATTTATGGCATCGCCTAAATCTTTTACAATATAAGTAGAGCATTAGAAGGAAGGAGTCTAATGAAATAGTGTTATAGACTTGTACCATCACATAAGCCTGTTGTTATAGAAAATTGACACTTATACAAATTAGTTTTAAAGCATTTTTAGACAATTATGTCTATGCATAGAACTTGTTGTTAAAGAAATACAACATGCACAGAATTGTGTACAAAATATAATGAATATTTAGAAACGTTAGCACACAAATTCATATTGCAGAAATATTCTACCAGACATACTAACTAAAAAATAAAATAAAAAAGCACACGCAACTACACACAAAGACCACAAATAATTTAATAGCACCATGTTTACACAAAGCCCCAAGAGGTAGTTGTAGAGTTAGTTGGCCTGTAGCTTAACACACAGACATTTAGCCGCAGCTGTAGTTTCAAGACCACGCGCTGAAATGGTTTGAATTGTCTAAAACATCAATCGTAATTGCAGCCCAGTTAAACACATGTCGAATCCACTTGTGAAATTGTCTATTTCATAAAATAGCCTCACATCGTGTAATAGCTTATATTTTTAGCATCTGGATGATTTAAATAGGCCTATTTCACTATAATTCTGATATATATATAAAGTTTTTTGAGTCGGCATAGCGTGTTTTAGGTCTTAAGTACTAGGCCTCCTATAGGCCATACTGTGTAACTGTTGTATGACTTTTTCAGCCATGGTTACTTACGTAATTATCATTGTGTTGTTGCTGTTAATGAGAAGAGAAGAGAAGAGCTACTTCAATCAGATATTCGTGCTTCAATGAGTAAACGAAAATCCTTGCAAACTAATGCCACATGATACGAACCATTACAAAAAAAAAACAAAACAACAACATAAATTTCATGTAACATACAATTTCATAGTGGATGTGACATATGTATACTGTTTACTAAAGTGACGTCAGCATTTCTAGTTTTATATAATTTACATATTACTAGCACGATCATCAGTGCAACTAATCTATCTATAAATTTATATTTTCATATATAATAACTACGTATACGTGTTTATCAAATACCCTGATGCTATGTTAAGTTCAATAGCCAGGAAATAATCATTTTTAAAGACATGTTTTTCTGTAAGCAATAAATGTTTAAGTTTTATATATACTAAGAAAGGTTTATTTACATACCTATATCGTGCGTAATTTCTAATTGAAAAAGAAAACGCTTTGGTATTGGGTTTATATATATTCTATACATTTAAAAGCCGCCAGGTGTTTGATTGTTGCATCTCTTCTTGATGCCAAATTCTGTCAGATCTCTACAAGAAACTAGCTTTCATAACACTTGAACGACTTTTAATGCTTTTGTAATTCGTGTTAGTTTTTTATGGGGGAGAGGAATATTATTTTTTATGTCTTTTTATTTTTTTTCAACAAGCAAGATGGACGTTTTATTATCACAAAACTTTATCATAAACCAATGACACTGATTTTTGTTTTAGGAAAGCATTTATACTGATCGTTACAGTTTTCATCAGTTACTTTGAGTGAGGTCAGCAATGTCTGAACAAAAAGGGCAACAAATGTTCACCAAATATTTTCTTTTTAGACCAAGGAACAATTTGACATCTTTCAATACATGATCAGTTAGGCTGTACGTAAATAATAAATATAAAATATCAAGAACTATCTTCACACTAATAAAAACAATAACGATGACTAAACTTTCAAATGCTGTGTTGGCAATTTCGAGTCTTCAGTAGCATCAGCCAAATGTTTAGTCACCGCTGTCTGATGACATTAAAGTTTAACTAACGTAGGAATGAAATCGGGAGTTCTAAACAATTATGGTGAGATTGTGCATTTTTCTATCAGAATAAGTACTTGGCGCTTCGGCAATTATTTGGATAATATGTGAATACATTATAGAAAACTCGTAGTTAGAGGCAACATTAGTTTTAATATTAATCACTTCACTTTACAGCTTCATGTGAGAGAACGGGCTATGCCACATAATGTAAACTACACTTCAAGCAGTAAAGTGAAAAGTTGCGTATTAAAACTAAAGTTTCATGCAAAGATAAAGTATTTTACATTCATTTACACTATAATCGCTAAACTCCAGTCTGAATTAAATTAATGTCTCATGACACATTATACAGTAAAAAAAAAGTAAAAAAAAAATTGTTCGATGAATTCTATCGTTGAATTTTTAATTTCCCAAGTTTTCATCTAAGTTCCGAAACAAAACTCATTTAAGGAGATTCCCCAAATATATGTACATGTCTAAATGTAAGTGCGTGCTTTTTATGTTACCTAGAGTTACATTTAAATAATGATGCCCATTGAGGAGGGAGAGTTGATAGAAAGAAAAGGATAAATTTAGATAGGTTACGGTCAGTTTTATTTTACTTGTCTTAGTTAAACCAGAGCTATACAAAGTGTATTTTCTATAACGATAAATGTAATGTTATGGAATTATAAGTAAACATATTATAAATACTTGAGCCTGAAAACTTCAGTTTTGATTTATAGCCTACGTGATAATTTATATGTGCTCCAATTATTCCAAATGAAGGGACACAGATTTTCTGGGATAAAGATCCTTGTAGGCTCTAGTGGAGATGTATACCCCTAATTCAAATAATAAAATACACAAGTCATTCAAAACTTTTGTTAAAAGCTATTTCATGTTTACAATTTAAATACATATTTCCAGAGCTAAACTTTAGAGTTCCTCTTATGCTTACTTTTTAAACCTGAAATCAGAAGTCGATCGTACAGAAATTAGTGGCTATTTCGGTTCTCACAATATCCAGCAAACAACAAAAAGTATTAAAATTACTTTTTAACGATGATTTGGTATTAGAGCATTTGAATAATGCAACTTTTGTGCTCATTGTTTCACCTCTTCTAGAGAAATCTTTATTTAAATATGAATTATTCCCCCTATTTGGGTCAAGATTTTGTAAAGTGATACACCTACAGAAAACCTGTTTCAGCGCTAAACTAGTTAATATCAACTGAAAGAAAATCTGAAAGTCATGTTTACCAAACTCTGCAAATGCAAGGCTGTAAGGTATAATGTTTGATGAAATGTTAACGTTGTGGACGTAGTCACGATGGCGGTTCCTGTTGAAGTTAAAGCGATCAGAAAGAGAGTTAATCTAAAATTGTGAGGAACCAATTAAAATATGACAATAAATATGCAAAGCAGAAGAAATAGTAAGAATAAGATGCTTCGTTCTTTTCACTGTGAACACTTTCATTGTCTCAGAACGTTCGGCGATTGATGGTCTTGAAAATGCTTGATCAGACCTCAGCAAACAAACGTCATAACAAATAGTTCACGATATTTATTGTTGTTTCTATTTCTATAAAGTGGCAGCGTGTCCTGGATGTCACTAACACGTTGAAAATTCTTACATTGCAATTCAAGATCAAAATGAAGTGGTAAAAGTAGCCTTGCTTTAGGAATAACTTTCATTGATACCTGAAGAAATATTTGGGAATTTGGTTGCGTCTTTTGAACCTTAAGGTTATGCAAAATTTTACATGATACATTGGTCTGTTGTTCAAAGTTGACACCAGAATTTGGTAATTTCTGAACGAACGACTCACGATTTTAAGAACAAAGATAAGAAAAAGCTTTTCAATAGCTGTTGGGTGGATTTGTACAGGCTTATAGTTTAGGTACTAAAACACATAAGAATAGTGATATTTCTAATTCTTGTAATAGGCATTAGAAAAACTAAACAAAACTGGTAACGTCATGTAAAAAATCCAAACAGTTTGATATATAATAGAATTAGATAACAAACAAAATACAATACGGTGGTTTTTTCAATTCATGTCAGACATTACTCAGAAAGTAGCCCCTTCTCTTAGTGGCTTCACGCAGGACTAACCACTAATAATTATACAACCATTCTCTGACATGGTCGCTACTTTGGCACTTAACTCAATTTCAAATATAATATCTACATGCAAGCGTAGCTTCATATGGTCAGAAAGCGTGTAATTAGTTGACTAAGCTTCATTTACACCAGTACCGTGGATGAAATCAACAATGGATGAAGTTTCTATGGAAACAGGAAGTCTGTCCACAAAGACGACACTCTATAAATACGTTAGTTGTGGCACTGCTAAGTAAACGCAATATTTACATACAAAATATACAGTGGTCTTGATGGGAGGTGCTTTTCTTGAGCATCTGAATATGGAGTTGTCCATTTGCCATCCTAATGCTCTTCTCTGTCACGTCTTCGTCTTCGTCGCCACCCTTGGTGATGCAGGTTTCCTTTCATTTTGATCTCACCTGATTACCAACAAGAAAAAAAAAACTTTTACTGACGAATAGTCTATGATTGAACAATTATTGCTCAAAAAATGTTAAACTGACAAAACCTACGTATATATATGTAACAATATAAACTCATTACTGATCAGCACACTTTGCGATACAATAAAATTTAGATTTTAAATTACTAAACTTCGTTTGAATTTCTAAAGTTCAATTTTATTTTTTAAATGACTTTAACTAAAAATATATCATTTATTTGATATAAATTGCACTTTCTGAGAAAATAATGTGATTTCTACAACCCGCAACAAAATAAGTACAAACTGTACGAACATGATTGAAAATTTAGTTAGCTATTTCTGAGATTCATCATATAAAATATGATAAATAATACAAACTTAATGTTCCAAAAGGCATCATTTTCAAGAGAAGGGGTACAACACTCATTATAATATAATACATAACACAAACTTAATGTTCCAAAAGGCATCATTTTCAAGAGAAGGGGTACAACACTCATTTAATATAATACATAACACAAACTTAATGTTCCAAAAGGCATCATTTTCAAGAGAGGGGGGTACAGCACTTATTATCGCTTCCCTGTAAATTACTATGGGTTTAGGCTTCTCCCTAACTTAAATTGTGTTTGTTTTTTGATCCAAAATAATGATTATCTATGTACGGATAGAAATTATACGGCAAAGAAATTACCTAAAGGTTCACGGTTCACAATGTAAAAATTAATTAAGATAAAAAAAACAGGTCATGTAACTTGCTCATTATCCTGTTTATTTTCACATTAATTTCGATTGTGCTTTTTTTCCTGGTTTCCACCATATGTGCTCCCCAGGTGGGTTAGCGATAATGTTTCGGAATTACAACATTAATTTCGATAGTGTGTTTTCTATCATATCTATCTCCCTGGCTGGTTAGTGGTAGTCTTCCGAATTACTACGCTAGATTACGGTTTCGATTCTCCAAGGTGGATATAACGCAAATAGCCCATTGTGTAGCTTTGCGATAACAAAACAACAACCATAATACCTTGGCCACCCTTCCTGAATCAAAATAGGTCTAATTCTCATCTTAAGTGTAAGAATTTTCTTTGGGAACTTGACCTCCCAAAAAACCCTTAGTTTTATCTTGACTTCGACAGACGCTCTTTTCATAAGATTTAATCACTCCCAATTTTGGTTTCATCCCACTTTTGATGGACGCCTTTCTTTAGTGTGAAACATAGGAAGACCTGGTGATCTCTTCCATGTTTTAAACTAAACTTCTTGAAGTAATAAAACGATTGATAGCCAAAAAAAAACGTATCGTCATATTTTGGGAACATATCACGAACTTTTCATGTTTTATACGATGATTTAAAATAACTAGCTTAACTAATCTTACTTGGATCCAAACACCGTGAGCAACATTCATTTTCTGGATGTACTTTAACTACGCACGTCAACTTGGGGCATTTCATTCGCTTGCATCTTGCTCGACCATCCTGTAATGTATGGGATATTTGTTTGCTGAAAACCTTCAGTATAAAGGTAGATATCATAGACGTACAGCACATACCAATCTACTTTACATTACCAAATATTATGATATCTTACATTGAGTTTACACGCATCAATATATTTCATATTAATCATAAAAGAAAAGGTATTATACAATGAGTCTACACGTACCAACCTACATCACAGTGATCATTAACACTTATCAAGGCATCTAGCGACGATGTCAACACTTAGCACACTACTACACAGTAATCATTAGCATATGTTATGGTGCATAGCAATGAGTCTACCAAGCTAATTCAAAGTGATCATTAATGCCTGTCAAAGTACCTAGGAGTTAGTCTGCATGAACAAACCTACTTCACAGTAATCATTAATAACATGATAAAGTATCTAGCAATGAGTATACATGTACGATTCCTATTCACAGTAATCATTAACATATGTCAAAGTATCATTCTATGCCTTTACACTTACCACTCAATACCACAGTAATCATTAACTTATGTTAAGGTACCTAACAATGACTCTAGTCCTACCAGTCTACTGCACGACTATCATTAACATATGTTAACGTATCTAAAAATGAATATACATGTACCTGCCTTCTTCACAGTAAACATTAACATATGTACTTTGCAATGTGTCTACACTTACAAATATACTGCCCTGTAATCATTAACGTATGTTATGGCACCTTAAAACGAGTTTACACTTACCAATCTACTCCACACTAATCATTAACATATGATAAGATACCTAGAAACAAGTCTATGTGCACAAACCCTCTTCACAGTCATCATTAACCCATGTTAAGGTACTTAGCAATGAGTCTACATTTACCAACTTACTCCACAATAATTACCAACATAGGTTAAGGTACCTAACAATGAGTCTACATGTAACAACCCTCTTCGCGGTGATAATTAAGATATGTCAAAGTACCTAGCAATGAGTCTAAATGTATCAACATGCTTCACAGTAATCATTAACACCTGTCAACGTACCCAGGAATGAGTCTGTACTTACCAATCTACTCCACATTAATCATTAACGTGTGTTAAGGTAGCTATCAATGAGTCTAGGTGTATCAACGTTTTTCACAGTAATTATCAACGTATGTCAGGTACCTAACAATGAGCCTACACTTTCCAATCTACTCCACATTAATCATTAACGTGTGTTAAGGTAGCTATCAATGAGTCTAGGTGTATCAACGTTTTTCACAGTAATTATCAACGTATGTCAGGTACCTAACAATGAGCCTACACTTACCAGTCTACTCCACATTGATCATTAACATATCTTAAGCTACCTAGCGATGAATGCACATGTATGAACCCTCTTAACAGTAATTATTAACATACGTTACAGTATTTAGCAATTAGTCTACACTTAACAATCTACTGCACAATTATCATTAACATATGTTAAGGTACCTAGCAATGAGTCCACATGTATGAACCCTCTTAACAGTAATTATTA